TGTCTGCAAATTCCGTCGCACAGCGTGCCGGAGACAATAGTCTTATGATTATTCTACAGTGTCACGGGTGCGAGAACCCACCGGTTTTCTTCATTGCCCGACTACACGTATGTTGAATCGAATAAAATATACACCACTTGCCCATATCCTTCATTGCTGACAACTTCAAATACTTCCATCCATTTCCTTACCTACGGGTCTTCGCGAGCCCGGCCCCCCGGTAGGGGGGCGGGCGAAGCACCCTTGTAAAATAATATTTAGCTTGATTCCCCACATGCAGCTGAAATGAATTCTCCAGTCAGTGTCGAATAGGTCGGCGTTGGAGCCGCCCGTTGTCGTTGTTGTTGTTGTCTTCACATTAAAACCGTTCCGGTCTCCACCCAATACCATCTAATGTCCGCACTGGTCCACTCGACGCGGACGTCTTCCGTGGTCACAAGACCGTCCAGAGCATAATTACCAAAACATATGCATATGAATATGCTACCGTTCCATTTCCGCATGCATCCTCGTCGCGTGGAGCAAGTAGTCGAGCTTTGAAAATCGGTCCACAAGGAGGACGGACGTGGAATCTCATGGCACCTAACTACAGCAGCATTAGACTACACGGTACATACATAGTCTACAGCAGTGCCGGCCCACTCGTAAGAAACACCCTCGTAAGAAGCCGAGGCTCAGATAACGCGGCTAAGAAATTGAGCTGCTTTGACGGAGAGTGATAAGAAACGGATTGATACGAAGCAGCACAATTTCAACTCCCTAGACATAAGAAGAAACAGATAAATAGATGATTCAAGGTTGGCCGCAGGAAATATGAAACGGCGTCCACGCGCATACAATGGGCGTGGGCCTTCTTCCGCCGCAGGAGGGTATGATCTCCTTGAGACCGCGTCGGCGGACCCCCCAGAAGCGCCGCCACCGCTCACAAAAAAACTCGTGTTCTTCATGCGCAAGGAAGGCAATGCCGCTTTCAGACGCATCCATCGGCAACCTCGAGACGTTGTCGAAGTTTATTGATGCCGGCTACATCAAGGAGAGCAACCACAAAGATTCCATCAAGAAGCACGTGATGGCCAACAAGCCCATCGATGACAAGTTCTGGTCGCATGTGGAGCGCATGGCCAACTTGCTGTCCAGCGGCATGTTTACGGCGTAAGACTACCGAGAGCAGCTAGATGCAAAAGTTGCAGACCTTTTGCGAGACGGAGCACCACGGTCGGCAGCGGCGGGCGGAGAAGCAGGGGTTGGTGGGTCGCAGGTGGTGGAGACTCCTAGGCCCGCACGGAAAAAGGGCAAGCGCACGGCCAAGGAATCGAGGGCGGCGGCGAATACGATGCACGGGAACATCGTCAACTGCTGTGTTGGATAAACCGGGTAGGCCGAAGCTTGTAGGTTTGTGGAGAAAGGCAGCTCGGCCAGTGAGGGCCGAGATGGGAAAGTCTTGTATTAGAGGAAAGAGGGAAGGGCAGAGACCACTC